CACGTTTAAAAGAGGAGGTGGCCTCCCTCAAGCCGGCTCCTCGCCGTACAGTCAAAAGGACCGCACAGGACGCTTTCTATTCGATAGAGCGCATTAAGGGGGCCCAGGAGGCCGTTGCCTTTGCCCGTGGGCCGTTGCTGCAGTCACATAAAAAAAAAGTGCGGAAAATCAACTCCGCATCGGCTGCCACTGTTCTAGAGGAATTGGACAAGCCTCCAACATAGCCGCCCGTCAATTTTCTATATAAATCTGGCTTTTTTAATGTTGTTCTTTGGATTGTAGTCACTTCGTTTGTGTGCGCCGGTGTTGCAAATTGGCTGCCAAAGGTGGGGGGATGCCCAAAGTGGGGTCACGCACTCTAGGAGACTAGTACCAAAGCAAACTACGGAGACCCCGAAACTAGTATTACTGTAACTATGAAAAGTCCGCTGACCAGTACCCTCAAAGCTTGGACGCAGCTGGCACAGGAGGCTGCATGACCTGGGGCCAGAATACTGGTCGCGCGCCATGCCGAACGATAGCAGGAGGGGGAGGGTGGCCAGGGGCCAGGGCCGTGATACTGGTAGCTTTTTAGGGTGGCGTGTGCCGATTGCCTGGAAGCAGGTGAGGTACCTTGGGAGGGGCCTGCAATCGGGTCGCACCTTAACCAGTACCAAGGCGGGGAGAGAAAAGCCCTTTGGAGCGCCACAACGAAGCCGAAAAAAGAAAAAAAAAAAGCCTGGCAAATGAAGTTGCGTGGCCAGTTTACTGGACACTCATGCGTTTAAAACAGCAGTGCATCACGCTTAGGATAATTGAACAAACGTCTTCGTCGATTTCTCCGTTATACAGTTAAAAACGATGCCTCCAGTTCGTCAAAGCACCCCCTGTCCGATCACCCCCACAGTCCGATCACCAAAATGAATCGGGTCCCGACCAAACCTAGTGCATTCAACTGCAAATTTCTACCTGAATTTAACTAACCAGATGCTGTATTACTTTCCTCCTCAACTTGCCCCCTTGCCTTTGCAACGCGCCGGATATCCACAAAGGTCTCGTTGGGATCCGGGGCCACCCTCCTTTTTTTGCGAGGCCGCTGTGCCTCCAATTCGGCCTCCAGCCGCCTAATTTTTTGCAGGGCCTCAGCTAATTCGAATTCACACGCCTCGTAGCCTTTTTGAACTTTCCGGAGGAAAAGTCGGGCCGTAGGGCTTGCCGGAATCCGGGCCTTGAAAGTGCTGATTTGGGAGGCCAACTCTCTGGTCTGCTTGGGAGTTTCCCATGGCATTTGGGACAGCCGGGAAAGCGTATTTAAACGCTGTTTGGCCCTATTTTCCTTGGCAGATTGTTGAATTCCGGCTCGTCGCTTGTTTTTATTGGAATTTTCGATCAAAAGCCGGTTCATTAGGGGTTTTGCTATATTGCGAGGCCAAAGGCCTGAGGAGGAGGAGGAGGAGTATATTTAACGTCGGTAAGTCGGGACCTACCAGTCCCTGCCTCCCGAGGGGCATACGACGTGCTAGCGCTACCTAAGCTAAACATTAGGCTACATGTTGCTATCCGGCGGCTAGCAGAGTTAAACCCGAAGGCACACGGAGGTCGGGCCGTATTCCGGCGCTCCTTGATAGTGAGCGGGCGATCGGCTGTAGGGCGTATGTATACGCCGGGGCGTTGTAAGCGCTGCGGGTGGTAGTAGTGCGTTGGGCCGGCAAGTGTGCCGGAAAAGGGGGCGAGGTCAGGCAGGGGGTCCTTGGGACCGCCTCTAGGCCCGGCCGGGGATCGCGGGGGGCCAACGAGCCTACCGTTGGTCCGAAAGGTACAAAGGAAAAAGGCGCAAGTGCAAAGAAAGAAAGGGAGGGAGTGAGTGAGTGAGTATATTTAACGTCAGTAAGTCGGGATCTACCAGTCCCTGCCTCCCAGGGGGCATATGACGTGTTAGCGCTACCTAAGCTTGACACTAGGCTACATGTTGCTATCGAGGCGGCTAACAAATTAAGCCCGAAGGCACGGAGATCGGGCCGCACTCCGGCGCTCCTTGATAGTGAGTGGGCAATCGGCAGTAGGGCGAATATCGCCGGGGCGCCATGGGCGCAGCTGTTGGTGGTAGAGAAAGCAATCGGCCGGCAAAGTGCCGGGAAAAAGTAGTGAGGCCGGGTAAAGGCGGGGGGGTCCTCGGGACCCCCCCTGGGCCCGGCCAGAGAAAGATAATTCGGGGGCTGGAGGGCCAAATTCCAGCCCGGTGTGCTCCTTGTGCGTTTTGTCGCGTGGACAATAGGCTGCGCGGTTTGCCAACGTGGTGCAGGTCGGGCCTTTACGGTCACGCTAGAAAACAGAGCCGCGACAAGACCTTGCGCGTGCGATGCCACCTCGACGGACGCCGGACGACATGGCGGGAAGGTGGGATGGTGGGATGGCTAGGTCATTTATACGTAGTGGTGGAACCTTGATGGAACCCGAGACTGCAGCAGATTCCAGCAGCGACTCACTGCTTACCTTCCTACGTACACAAGTGCTTGTAAGACATTGACTTGTCTACAACCACCTATCGGGACTTCTGTTTTCTTGAGCAAGATAAGGATGACAGGAGTTATTTAGACTTGAGATGAGTGCCATGGGCAGTCAGGGGTCTCTGGTGGTGGCTGAGAAGCGTGCCGAGAACATCGAGAGACAGCTGATCGAACAGTACGCCAAAGAGATCAAGAATCTCCGGGCCCAGCTAGGCAAGCTAGAGGCCGAAAGTGAGCGGCTCAAACAGGTGGCTGAAAAGGCCAAGAGACAGGCCGAACTTGAGCTTCGTCAACAGATTACGGCCGGGACTGGTGAGCAGCACATCAGGCAGGCAACCTCCAAACAAAAGCTAACTATCGACTTAGATGCAGTTTCTGGGGCACCTGCATCGGGCCCTTTGTCACCCTCGGCTGCGTCATCGACGGCGAGCAGCGAGCAAGAGAGTAGCGCCGGCTCCACCGATTCCGCAAGCACTTCCAGCACTTCCAGCAGCAACCCCCGCGAAAGCCAGTCGGATGCACCTTCAACGAAACCCGCACCACTTGAGGTCGATCCCGGCTCTGGACGAAAAACCCCTCGAAGTTTCCTCCCGATCGATTCACCGCTGGGCGATGCTCACGCCGCATCAAGCGGCGATCCCGACCCGCAGTCGTCCAGCGGTCCCGCCCAAGATGCAGCCGACATCGATATTCCCGACGCCGCCGACGCCGCACCCCTAGGCAGCAATCCCGGAGCACAGTCACCGTCTAGCAGTTCCCTCAGCAGCCCCCCGATAGTCCCCCTCGGGATACAGCCGACCCTCCCCTAAACGCTAATACGAACTCTGTGGTCAACCTCGAAACCTCGGAACCGCAAAGGCCGCGTCCAGTTCTCAAAAAGCCCCAATTCAATGGGCCCTACGAAATCAGGCTTAATGCCGCGGTTAAGTGGGGGAAAGAACATTTCCCAGAGAAGGGGGTCGACCAGTTCGAATCCGGGAAGCTCATGGCGGCCGCTGTGTTGTATGATGTTTGCACCATAAACTCCTGGCCGGTAATTAATTACCAGAATGTTCGTGCGCTCAAGAAGAAGATGGAGAATAAACTTTTTGCCGTCATCCTCTGCCATGTTCAGGATGGGCTCCAACTCTCGGGGCGCAAGCCTAATCATTTCGTTGTGGCCATTGTCGACTGGAAGGAGGAAACGGTGGAAAACTTGCAGGGGAAAAGCAGTGGACGAAGTGGAAGATCGGGGAAGTTCACACATTGGGGAATGCAACGAGACATGGCAGACAGGCTGCGGGAGGATTGTGAAAAAGAATTGGAGTGTAAACTGGAAGACTTTCCCAAAGAGGTAAGGAGAGCCCTTCGAAATTTGGTCGATATTTTCTAACCTTTTTTGTTTTTTCAGCTTGGCGACTATACCGGCAACACCTGTTTGCTTCAATGTTTGACAGCCGTTCGATCCTACTTCGGGGAAATAACCCCCCAAGGCAACCAGCACTTGAAGCGATGGTTTTATCTCGAAATTTTATTGCAACACTGGGTCGACTGCCACAACGAGGAGGCCACATCCGCCGACACGCAAATAGCTATAGCCGAGGGCCCTTTTGCCGCGGGTCCCCCGCTGGGATCTGCCGGCCAGCACGGAAACAAAGCCATGGTCGAAGGTGTTCCAAACGACGGCTCTATTCCCCAATCTCCCCAGTCGGCCGCCCATTTCACCTCGGCTCAATTCGCCCCACCTGCCGGGCCATCCCGAAAACCGCTCCCTAACGGACCAGTGCCAGCAACGAATGCACCAGCTGCTTCACCATCGCCTTCCAATCCCGACGAGGTTCCCCAAGTTCAACCCACATCAGTACCCCCGCCCCTGTTTGGCCAAGGCAACGACAACGACCCAGCCGCTTCCCATGGGGTTCACAACGGCGTGAAATACCAATGGATGCCCTGCTACGGCGGCGAGGTCTTGGTGCTCGAGCCAACACCGAACCAATATTCGGACCTTAAAGAAGGTCCAAAAGATGGCAGCCCTTTGCTTTTTACTGTCGCTGAGGAGCTTGGAGCACGAAAGCAAGGTGCATTCATTATCAACACCCCGAAGGAGTCTCGACCAGTGCTTCCTGCACAACCGACTCAAACAAAAACATGTACAACCTACAAGCCGGAGTTGGTGGGAGACGACTTTTGGCGGCTCTACACTTTGACCGCAACACAATCCCTTCCTTCTTTGGATAATAATCCAAGCAATGCCGGTTCCGACATTCATGCCCTCATTAAGGAGTATACGGAGTATATCTCAGCAGCTTTCCAAAAGCGTTCGGAAAGCATCCCGGGTGTTGCTTACCAAACGGACATCCCAGCACACTCTACCAAAGAGCGTGAAAATGCTTTCCTACCTTTGCAAAGCCCAATCTGGCACATTCGAGGTAACCAACTGCCTCGGGAAGGTATACCCGGGCTCCACACTCCAACCGCTTACCGAGGGACGAAGGGCGCACCATTTGCGTGGCATTTCGAAAACTTGAAGCTGGGCGCCATCAATTATCTCTACCGCGGGCGGAAAGTATGGTTTCTTACCGAGCCAGGATCATTCGACAATGCGACTGAGGCGTTCAGCAACGTATTGGGGCTCGAGGCGGACCATGACCAATTCCTGCGGCACCAAGCGTTGCACTACGGCATCAAGCGCCTGCAAAGCGAAGGCGCCCCGACGATAGGTTTTATGCAGGAGGCTTGGCAGATGGTTGTCGTCTACCCGGGTGCCTACCACTCTGGTTTCAGTGCGGCGGACTCTCTGGCC